GCGGGACCAGGGATGGGACACTACCGCCGCGGCGATCGTTCGCTTCTGTTCTCTCTTCTCGGCCGATAAGAGAGAACAGAAGCGAGCAATCGCCGTGGTGCTAATGTCCCATCCATGGTCCCGCCAGCGGCACACCCCCTCGATGACATTCCACACTCCCCCACGCAATTTTCACTCGCCAATTGCGAGGGGGGCGAGTCGAAATTTTGAGGCCTGCCCTACAACATTCTATCTTCTCACTCCCCAGTAGCAGGCAGAAACAATGTCCTGCACTTAGGGAAAACCCAACAAACCTGGATAACAATACTCTCAGGTTAGCTGCAATCTATCTGCAACCACTGACAGGGTTATTCACAGAAGGGTGAAGTGTTTGGAGAAGGCAGGAGAAGGGAACAATCTAGGACAACATAGCTGAACTGGAAAGTGAGCTGAATTGGAGAACTTTTCCAAATCAGCTATGTTGTCCTAGATTGTTCACTTCTCCTGCCTTCTACAAACTCTTCACCCTTTTGTGAATAACCCTGTAAATCAGGACTAGGGACATTACAGCTTATAGCATGGTCCCTGGAAACTAAAGTGCAACCGTAAACTTCCCCCTCAAGAACATAATAGGAGAAAGAAAAACCCATTAAGACACAATTTATGAGATGTTTTGTGTAAATATGTTGCTAGGTTAAGTTTGTCAAAGGGAGAACCTTGAACTTTGACAAGGAACCATTTATTACAGAAGTATCTATCATGAATGTTATTGGTGGGCCATAGGATTTATATAGTGGAATACAAACAATTGTTTATCAATATAAATCACTATAAATCAAAATATGCACTTTAGGAGGTGTCTGTTTAAAGAATGGGGCTACCTTGCAGTAGTGTGCTGTAATTTCCATGGCAAATCTATCAATTTAAGTTCATTATGCAAAGGTTTTTTCCTAAATTGTTGTATAATAAAAATAAAATAAAAAGGGGAGAATGGGTTGTAAACGCTATAGGTCTTTTCCGTGTTCAATGATCCAATCATTAGCTTTTTTAAATAATTGTGGTGAATATTTAGGAAGTTGAAGATTTTGAACTCCTAAAGTATACTAGCCTTTATGTGTCGGTGCCCACTCTGTCTGTGACTGCTGTGAGTCTGGAGAAGTACTTACGGGAGGCTGAGGATTCATGTGAGCATATGCTGAGCCAACATGAAACAGGCTTTTCATCCAAGGGGATGCAATTGATCATGTTGCGTTTGCAGGTAAAGTAGTGGCCCTTGGCAGTGCATTTTTAAGCTGTCCAGGAGTGCTCCAGCTAAGCAACTACTCATTTCCCTTTATCACATGCTGCCATGCCACCTCTTAGTGCACCTGTGCCATCTTAAAGAGGGCCCTGC